CACCCCTCCAACCCCCGCACCCCCGGCACTGCCCTGGCCCCGCCTCCCTCTCACACGGAGCCTTTCCCCCAGATTTCATCCTGCTGCTCTGCGTGTTCCGTTTCAACGGGAACGTGTACCGGGCGGTGCCCTACGTCGCCCTGTATCCTTCTGCATGGGAGGGTGGAGATGGGCCTCACTCAGCAGGCCCGTTACCCACCGTGCCTTTTTGGTGGCGCTAAAAAGAATCCCAAAGGCAGACTCCATGCAAGCCAAGGTCTCCACCGCCCAGAGGTGCCCTCCCCTCCCAGGCCAGGGCGCCTGTGGGGCCAGCTGGCCGGGTGGGAGGTGGATTGGGAGCTCCCTGCTGGGCCTGCTGAGCAGAAGCCCCCCTGCTACCAGCTCTAACTTTTCTTTAGGGGGAGATGTCCCCACAGAATCTAAGTCACATGATGAGAATGTCTGACATTAACACAGTGCGCTGACACACCTGGTCACCTGTTAGCTTGCTCAAGGTCAAGGTCAGGCCCCTCGTGCAAACTTCAGGAGGGTCTCAGCGGGGGTGCGGTCCTCACACAGACACGTCCCATCTTCCGTGAGCCAGGTCCTGGCTTTCAACTCTGTAAAAACTCGCTCTCCTGTTGACTTTCACACCTTAAAGGGCCAGGCAAGCCTTTGATGGGCAGTCGGTTAAACCTGCCACACCTGGGACTTGTGACCTGGTCTTTCCCAGAGAGGAGCGGGGGAGGTGCTGCCGGCCTGTCTGCCCCGAGTGCCTTGAGCCCGCTCCGCCTGGGCAGCCCTGGCCATGGCCCGTACCCCTCTAAGCTGCCGCTGCCCGTCTGTGAGGTGGGACAACGATGCCTCTTTAGGGTTTTTGAGGGAACTAGCAAGTCCCGGGAGCACAGGACAGGCTGAGGGCCTGGCACAGTCATAGTGGCTGTTTTTCTAGAAGCCCCTCTGCAGAGTGGAGCTGGGTGTGCACAGTCCCGACCCTCTGCTGTTTGATCGAGTTTCCCCCTGACTCAGTTTCCCTCTGCAAACCCAGGGATCGCACAGTCCTCCTGCCCTTGGGCGCTTCAAGGTTAGCCCCAGCTGCTTAAAGGTTTTTGAGCACAGAGTACTCTGACGATGAAAAGCGTGGCGTGATTTACTATTTAAATAAAATGCAACAACTTCCCTTTGTGCCAGTGGGGGGGCTGCAGATTCCAAAATGTGGGTGCCCTCCCACCTCTGGAATGTCAGCGGGATGTTTGTCACCGCCTCCTGTCGGCTGTGACCTATGGCACCTAAGTAAGTAGGGTTGCCACCTTGGTAATGAATGACTTTCTAGCACAAATATGTCCCAAATATTGCAGGGGACGTAATTACACGAATCAATTGTTTAGGATCTGAAATTCACATTTAACTGGGTGCCCTGTATTTTTATTTGCTAAATCTGGCCACCCTACAGAAAAGTCATCTCTAGGGTCTCGGTAGTGGCTAGTGTAGGTCAAGTTTTAGAAAATGTCTATCAGGGATGAATGGAATGAGGTGCAGTGGTAGAATATTGGACAAAAATTACTCAAATGTTCTTTTTTAAAATGGAGCCAGCTTTCATCCACCTGGATTCAGGCTGCCTTTCTGGTGTTGCCCAGGTTGCTAGTAGCTGGTCTACTGACTTTTAGCACAGAACATTGTCTGTTTCAGTCCCTTCATTTAAATAATGTTCTTAATTATACTCACAGCAACCTGTTGGGTCCCTACAATGAGCCACAAAGCATTGAGTAGGGAGAGGGGGCAAAGAATGTTAAGTCCATTTTGCACATGAGCAAACCAAGGTGGAGAGACAGGACTGAACTTGCCCGTGGTCACAGCAGAAGTCCCCGCGGTCCTCAGGGCCTGGCCACGCCCCTCCTGCTTGTCCAGCTTCCCTAGCTGAGCTGTCTATTCCTCCTATTGGCCAGCTCTGCTGCCCGCTGCTGTCACCCCATTTTCACGCAGGGGCTGGTGAAGAGGGGAAAGAGTTTCATGTGACACGGGTTTGCAGGACGTGCCTGCTTTATAATGTTGGCCCCTTGTGAGAGCTGAACTCGGGACATCACGTGGGCAACGTTTACAGGGTTGGGAATGAAGCCGGAAGCTAAAATCCCCTGGGAATTCCCAACCTGGCCGCAGGCCGAGTGCTCAGGGCTCTGTGCCTTCTCCCATAAGCTGCTGCTGTGCTTTGGCGGCCTGGCTCTGCGGGCACTGGGAGCCGGCCTTGTCTTTTCCAAGTCTACCAAGTTCTCACCGGGGTCTGGGGTAGTTTCCACAGCACTGGCGAGGCTGCCGGAGCCGCCAGGGAAGCCACTTCCTTAACATTCGGTAAGATTTGTGACGTCCTGGTTCCTCCTCACCCTGCAGAAGTGGATCATGGACCTGGCCATGGTGAGTGCCGCCCGAGACAGCAGCCTGTCACCCTCCTCTCCCTGTCACCGGCCCCGCCGAGCACCTGATAGATCAAATGTTCAACCTGCTCATTTCCACCTGCACCGAAGGGTGGTGGGGAGAAGGGGCAGGGCTCTCCAGACAGGGAGCCAGCATTCCCACGTCCATGCTGACCTCCACCCCTCCAACCCCCGCACCCCCGGCACTGCCCTGGCCCCGCCTCCCTCTCACATGGAGCCTTTCCCCCCAGATTTCATCCTGCTGCTCTGCGTGTTCCGTTTCAACGGGAACGTGTACCGGGCGGTGCCCTACGTCGCCCTGTATCCTTCTGCATGGGAGGGTGGAGATGGGCCTCACTCAGCAGGCCCGTTACCCACCGTGCCTTTTTGGTGGCGCTAAAAAGAATCCCAAAGGCAGACTCCATGCAAGCCAAGGTCTCCACCGCCCAGAGGTGCCCTAGGCCAGGGCGCCTGTGGGGCCAGCTGGCCGGGTGGGAGGTGGATTGGGAGCTCCCTGCTGGGCCTGCTGAGCAGAAGCCCCCCTGCTACCAGCTCTAACTTTTCTTTAGGGGGAGATGTCCCCACAGAATCTAAGTCACATGATGAGAATGTCTGACATTAACACAGTGCGCTGACACACCTGGTCACCTGTTAGCTTGCTCAAGGTCAAGGTCAGGCCCCTCGTGCAAACTTCAGGAGGGTCTCAGCGGGGGTGCGGTTCTCACACAGACACGTCCCATCTTCCGTGAGCCAGGTCCTGGCTTTCAACTCTGTAAAAACTCGCTCTCCTGTTGACTTTCACACCTTAAAGGGCCAGGCAAGCCTTTGATGGGCAGTCGGTTAAACCTGCCACACCTGGGACTTGTGACCTGGTCTTTCCCAGAGAGGAGCGGGGGAGGTGCTGCCGGCCTGTCTGCCCCGAGTGCCTTGAGCCCGCTCCGCCTGGGCAGCCCTGGCCATGGCCCGTACCCCTCTAAGCTGCCGCTGCCCGTCTGTGAGGTGGGACAACGATGCCTCTTTAGGGTTTTTGAGGGAACTAGCAAGTCCCGGGAGCACAGGACAGGCTGAGGGCCTGGCACAGTCATAGTGGCTGTTTTTCTAGAAGCCCCTCTGCAGAGTGGAGCTGGGTGTGCACAGTCCCGACCCTCTGCTGTTTGATCGAGTTTCCCCCTGACTCAGTTTCCCTCTGCAAACCCAGGGATCGCACAGTCCTCCTGCCCTTGGGCGCTTCAAGGTTAGCCCCAGCTGTTTAAAGGTTTTTGAGCACAGAGTACTCTGACGATGAAAAGCGTGGCGTGATTTACTATTTAAATAAAATGCAACAACTTCCCTTTGTGCCAGTGGGGGGGCTGCAGATTCCAAAATGTGGGTGCCCTCCCACCTCTGGAATGTCAGCGGGATGTTTGTCACCGCCTCCTGTCGGCTGTGACCTATGGCACCTAAGTAAGTAGGGTTGCCACCTTGGTAATGAATGACTTTCTAGCACAAATATGTCCCAAATATTGCAGGGGACGTAATTACACGAATCAATTGTTTAGGATCTGAAATTCACATTTAACTGGGTGCCCTGTATTTTTATTTGCTAAATCTGGCCACCCTACAGAAAAGTCATCTCTAGGGTCTCGGTAGTGGCTAGTGTAGGTCAAGTTTTAGAAAATGTCTATCAGGGATGAATGGAATGAGGTGCAGTGGTAGAATATTGGACAAAAATTACTCAAATGTTCTTTTTTAAAATGGAGCCAGCTTTCATCCACCTGGATTCAGTCTGCCTTTCTGGTGTTGCCCAGGTTGCTAGTAGCTGGTCTACTGACTTTTAGCACAGAACATTGTCTGTTTCAGTCCCTTCATTTAAATAATGTTCTTAATTATACTCACAGCAACCTGTTGGGTCCCTACAATGAGCCACAAAGCATTGAGTAGGGAGAGGGGGCAAAGAATGTTAAGTCCATTTTGCACATGAGCAAACCAAGGTGGAGAGACAGGACTGAACTTGCCCGTGGTCACAGCAGAAGTCCCCGCGGTCCTCAGGGCCTGGCCACGCCCCTCCTGCTTGTCCAGCTTCCCTAGCTGAGCTGTCTATTCCTCCTATTGGCCAGCTCTGCTGCCCGCTGCTGTCACCCCATTTTCACGCAGGGGCTGGTGAAGAGGGGAAAGAGTTTCATGTGACACGGGTTTGCAGGACGTGCCTGCTTTATAATGTTGGCCCCTTGTGAGAGCTGAACTCGGGACATCACGTGGGCAACGTTTACAGGGTTGGGAATGAAGCCGGAAGCTAAAATCCCCTGGGAATTCCCAACCCGGCAGCAGGCCGAGCGCTCAGGGCTCTGTGCCTTCTCCCATAAGCTGCTGCTGTGCTTTGGCGGCCTGGCTTTGCGGGCACTGGGAGCCGGCCTTGTCTTTTCCAAGTCTACCAAGTTCTCACCGGGGTCTGGGGTAGTTTCCACAGCACTGGCGAGGCTGCCGGAGCCGCCAGGGAAGCCACTTCCTTAACATTCGGTAAGATTTGTGACGTCCTGGTTCCTCCTCACCCTGCAGAAGTGGATCATAGACCTGGCCATGGTGAGTGCCGCCCGAGACAGCAGCCTGTCACTCTCCTCTCCCTGTCACCGGCCCCGCCGAGCACCTGATAGATCAAATGTTCAACCTGCTCATTTCCACCTGCACCAAAGGGTGGTGGGGAGAAGGGGCAGGGCTCTCCAGACAGGGAGCCAGCATTCCCACGTCCATGCTGGGAAGTGTTTTACTTCCCTTTTTGCGCCCTGGAGAACCACATTGGGACCTGAGCAGAAGTTAAAGAGCTTCCGGTCCGGTTAGTCATTACATATTGGCCACTTACGCATTCTTTTTGCCCTCCTTGGAAGAGGGTACTGAGCCCTATACTAGTACCTTTTCCCTTCCTGGTTAAGGGCCCAAATGCGCATGCTGTGGGAATAGGATGCCGATGGGGGTCAGGTGACCACAGATCTCTCCAGGTGACAGAGTGGAGGTTTCCACCCAGGGGAAGACAGGGCATAAGTTACTGCCTGCCACACCCAACCCATGCATTTCCCCCCCTTTCCCGCAACATCTAAGCACCCTTCTTCCTTCCAGTCCCGTTCTGGGTTGGACTCTGTGACAGAGAAACCGGACCACCGGCAGTTGAATCTGTATCATGAGATTGTCCAGGCCTTGGTTATGTCCCTGAAGGAAACGCTCTACTCCACCCACAGCTGAAGTGGGTTTGTAGAGGTGTGGGGTGGGCGCAGCCAGGCAGCGGGCCAGCGGGTCAGCCTCCTGGCAGGGGTGCAGGGCCTGGTGCGTCACCACGTGGGCTCATTACAGGAGCCAGAGGTCCAGAGGTGACGCCCCAGCCGCTGCTGTGACTCTCTGAGCCTGTAGCTCAAAGCGGCCTGGCCCTCCCTGGGCTCTGAAACACAGTAAAGTCTCTCTCTCTCTCTTTTCTTCAATATCTTTTTTAAAATTGATTTCAGAGAGGAAGGGAGAGGGAGATAGAAACATCAATGATGAGAGAATCATGGATCGGCTGCCTCCTGCACGCCCCACACTGGGGATCGAGCCCACAATCCAGGCATGTGACTGGGAATTGAACCGGTGACCTCTTGGTTCATAGGTTTGATACTCAACCACTGAGCTAAGCCAGCCGGGCTGGGCCTCTCTTTTTTATTGCGGGTGGGGCTGATGAGCCTCGTGGCCAAGCAATGACTTTTCTTACTCTCATCTTCTCACCAGCTTCAGGCGGCAGGTGCTCACCCAGCAGAGGAGATGGCGGGTTATCACTAACCTGGGTCTTGCCCTGGCACAGATGGGCTATTCGCTCACCTGAAATGGTGGCTTCAAATGGTGGCCTTCCGTCTCTGGTTCTCTTTTCTCGCGAGGGGACTCCTAACTTTCTCCCGTTTTACCTGCCACAGAATTTATGTACTTTCATCAGCGCAGCCAGTAAGTTTGCGCAGCTGCAGTGCCTGTGGAAGACGCAGGACTCGGGGGCGGTGAGCGCGCTGACCTGGGGCCTGGCTTCCTACACCAGCGCCAGTAAGAACAGACTCCCGCCACGGAGTCCTTCCCCGAATCCCGCATCCGCCCAGGGGAAGTGGGGGGTGGGGGAGGAACACTTCGTTTCCTTTTTTTATAAAATAAGGGGGTAGACTTCAGTGATTTAACATGGATTTTAGTTAGTGGGAGCCTTTCTTTCAGTGAACCTTTTCAGGGGCTTATTATGTAAATGAGATTTTCAAAAAGTTGGGTTTGGGGTGGGGAAGTGGGAGTTACCACAGAGCGGAAGGGGAGCTTGGCCGGGGCCTGGCTGGCTTTGCTGCTTTATGAAATACAGGGCAGTGAGTGTTCTGTGCTAGCCAAGTCTTTCAGGAACAGTGAGCATCAAGTCCTGTCTTTAAAGTGGAAAGACATTCGCTAAATACCAAACTGTCTGAGAAGCGAGTTGGTATTTATTGCCAAAAATCTTCTGTTGCAGCAAGAATAATAACCACCTTAATGACCACCAATGACCTCACAAGTAAGCAAAATATTTTTCTGCCACTTCCTTTTTCAATATGCCTTTTGCCGCCTTCGTTTGCCCATGTCCTTAGCGGGTCACCGGCTCCCTGTGTGATGCATGTAGAGGCCAGACATACACTCCTGGTCTCCGCCAGTCACCGTGTTTGTACTGAGCATCTCCTTTGTGGTGCCCGGTAGTCAGTTCCTATCTTTGTGAGCGTCCGCACGGCCAGTGAAGTGGACAGGAAAGCAACCACACACGTAGCTACTGAAAAATCCTGTGAACTGTGTTTGAAAGAGTAGGACGGGATGGGCACCCGCAGGGAGCCTGCCCGGGTTGGAGGAAGCTGGGAAGGTCCCTTGAAGATGGGCGACCTGGAGGAGGTGGGAAGAGACTGCTACAAGCAGCAGCGTGAGGTCAGGAGCAGAGAGGACGCAAGGCCTGGCCTGGGAGTGTCAGAAGGGCGGGACTGCGCATGGGGCGCCTGAGGAGGGCTGGGAAGGTGGTATCATGATGGTCCAGCCCCTCAAACAGCCCACAGCAGCGGAGGCCCTTGAAAGCAGGGGAGGGACAGAATCTTTTGACTCCATGTCCTTGCTTTTCTTAAAAGGGTTCCTGTGATGGAGAAAATGCGTGGGTTACCCTCAGAGTTTTTAACTCCCAAACTGTGCCTGTACAAACATTTTGGGAAATGTTTACAACAGATGGGGTTTGTCGCGGGCACTTTGTCGCTCTGAGAGGGAGTGAGGGAGTGAGAGCGCTGTGGTGGAAGCACCAACTTGGGCCAAGAGAGGAAAGGGAAGGAGGCAGGCCTTCCTCACAGGACCAAAGTCGCTGTGCGGAAAGAAGGGCCAAACCATAACCCAACAGAACCACCTGCCATTGAGAATTAAGTTTAAAGATTGAGAACGTTCTCACTTGTTTTGTGACACCCGAGGCCGCCTAAGGTGACACCTGCCCCAGAAAGTGATCCCTGTATCTGGAGATGACCTTTGAAAACCCGTTCAGCTCATTAATACCGCATACTAGTAAGCGGCTTACACCCAGGCAGACCTCATCAGTCTTCTTTCCCAGGAGTGCTCCGCCACCAGCACTTTTTTTGAGAGCCATGTTTCCATGGTTACCTCAATATAGACTGGGCTTTGACGTCATGCATTTTTTCAGGTTGACCTTAAGAGAGTGCTCCACACCTTTCCTTCCCATGCGGTGTTCTGAGGCGCCCCTCACTGCCCTCAAGACTTAAAAATATGACTAAAGGGGAGTGAACAGTTGTAATACTCCTTATCAGCCAGAGCCAGATTCCTCCAAGTTAAACCTGAAGATGAGAAATTATTATTCATGAAGTCAGGCTAAGTGGCCAATGGTAGTCATGATGGGAAGATCATTTTCCCAGAAATATTTGGAACCACATTTGGGACCAAAGTTGTTCAAAGGTTCTCATGATCTGTAGTTCTAAGTCTCATTTCTTTGAGGGGGAGGGGTGTGTGGGGCTTTATTTAGGCTTTTAGAGCAGAATGATTTTGTTCTCTGACGTGAAAACAGTATTTAACGTATACTTTTTCTCTTCTTGGCTGCCTTCAGTCCTTATACGTTTTGTGGTCACGCTGGCTTTAAACCTGTGGGTGACAGCGACAGTCCTCCGCTACCGGAAGACGGGTGTAAAGGCTGAATGATGGATGGGTAATTCTGACACACAAAGTGGATTTGGAGTAACTGAACCAAAGGAAAGAAGAGCTCATTGCTACATCGAGGTCTTTTATAAATTAGTCAATCATTTCTGAAACTCTGGAGCCAAAGGTATTTTAGACTTGAAAGAGCCATTCAAACACGTGTTTAAAAATGGCCCCACCCCCCACCCCCCACTTTACTAGGTCAAGTTGGGACACAGACATCTGCAGTGTTGAGAAGGTTGGTGGTTAATGGAAACCATCCAACAACCATTTTGAGATTGCTTTGCCTCTTAAAAGTCATGATTAAGTTCTCTCCAAAGAGCTGACTACATCTATTTTTCAGCTTTCAGAATATTTTAAGAAATAAGTCCTCTCCACAGAAAAAATGAGCATCAAGTGGGTTTTGCTCGGTCAGAAGAGTTGTAATCAATTACTAGGGGTTCACTTTCTGGGACTAGTGTCTAATTGCAACAGATATGACAGGATGGCTTTATTGTATCATAATACAGTATAATACCTGTTTACGTGTCACAAGTCTATCAGGGCAAGCAAAAAGGTAACTGGCTTGAATTCATATGCCAAAGCAGTCCTTTAACTTCATACTGTGCCTTTAAGTAATTCCTAACAAAATGTACTATTGGATGCAATCTCTGTGATGAAGCAATTCACGTTCTGATCTAAGCACAATGCTGCCTTTTTTTAAAACTGCTTTTAATATATATGTGTGTGTTGTGCGTGTGTGTATTAGTACATATACACACACACATATATATATATTATTGATTCTGGAGAGGGAGATGTAGAAACATCAATAATGAGAGAGAATCATTTCATTGATTGGCTGCCTCTTGCATGCCTCCCCCTCTGGGGATCAAGCCTGTAACCCAGGCATGTGCCCTTAACCAGAAATCGAACAGTGACCTCCTGGTTCACAGAACAACGCTCAACCACTAAGTCACACTGGCCGGGCAATGCTGTCATTTTTATAGAGGCCACAGCCATGCAATTAACCATTCTTAGAATTTGGTACAAAATACAGCTTATCTCGACCAGGTTTTGTGTATTGAAAATATATGTAGTAAAGGGTATTGCTGAGTTCTGGCAATCCTTATGGATTCTATTCTCAGTATCATTCTAAACATGACAAGATTATTATTATACATGGTATTTTTCTATAAAAGTTTGTAAAGCCTAACACTTAAAAAACTCTTTTCCCCCTTATAACTGAATGGCATTATTTTGGTGTGTATATACATATATGCAGTAAGTAAATGATGCTTATTAGATGTTTTGGTTTCCTGTGTAAAATAAACTTTCAAATTTTGAAATCTGCTGAGTCTTAAAACTGTTTCAATGTGATTAGTTTTCAGTTATGTAAAGTGCCATTTAAAAATATAGATTGTGGTTAATCCTTTTAGAACGACTGCTTGGGAACAGCAGGAACAGAAACATGGCATCTAAAAATAACATCATTCATTCTGTAGTTCTTAGATCATAGTTGTCACTTTTTAAAAATCCAAGTAAATCCTTTCTTGTGTGCAGTTACAATCTGTTGGTATACATACAAATTGTGACTTTAGACCAACAAATATTTACACATACTTTTATTAGTACTTTATCATTGTTTAAGCAGTGGTTCTCAACCTTCTGACCCTTTAAATACAGTTCCTCATGTTGTGACCCAACCATAAAATTATTTTCGTTGCTACTTCATAACTGTAATGTTGCTACTGTGATGAATCGTAATGTAATCTGATATAATGCAGGATGGTCTTAGGCGACCCTTTAAATACAGTTCCTCATGTTGTGACCCAACCATAAAATTATTTTCGTTGCTACTTCATAACTGTAATGTTGCTACTGTGATGAATCGTAATGTAAATATCTGATATACAGGATGGTCTTAGGCGACCCCTGTGAAAGGGTCGTTCGACCGCCAAAGGGGTCACAACCCACAGGTTGAGAACCGCTGGTTTAAAGTCACTCCTTTAAGAATATGCCCCCTTGGAGGGCAGTCTCCATCCAAGGGAAGGGAATAAATGTTTGAGCCATTTTAGACCCTCCACAGCAGCTTCCGAGCTAATCCCACAAGGACCCTGGCAGTAAACCATCTCCATTTTGCAGATGAAGGCACTCAGCTCGGTGAGCGACCTGGCCCAGGTTAGAGCCAAGCCATGTCCAGGAAAGAACGCACTGATTACCAGAGAAATGCTTCCTGGAAACCACCTGTCAACACACTAGTCTGACAACACATGCACCATGGCTCTCCTTTATCCTCAACACAAGAGTGGGGGTTTGCACGCCCCTTAAAATGCCAACATCAAATTAGAGACAGACTCCTGGGTGAAACTCTACCTTTTGTATTTCTCCGCGCATAAACGACGGGGCCGAAGATTCACAAGTCTTTAACCAGTTAACTACCATGCGTCCAAAACGGAAACCATCCCCACATGCCACGATATTTTGAATTTAAAAAAACAACTAGCCCTAACCGGTTTGGCTCAGTGGATAGAGCGTCGGCCTGTGGACTCAAGGGTCCCAGGTTCGATTCTGGTCAAGGGCATGTACCTTGGTTGCGGGCACATCCCCAGTAGGGGGTGTGCAGGAGGCAGCTGGTCGATGTTTCTCTCTCATCGATGTTTCTAACTCTCCCTCTCCCTTCCTCTCTGTAAAAAATCAATAAAATATATTTAAAAAAAATAAAAAAACAACTAAATTTGCAATGAATAATATAAAAATAAATATATTACTTACAATTCGGTTGTTCTTGAATATTTTCAGCTGAAAATTCTCACGAAAAATGATTTTAAAGTTGGTCAGGGCTGCCACTTAGGGAAAATATTTTCTTCCTATAGACGCACGTGGTGTGTGGGGAAGGCTGGCCGCTTGTATCTACAGATGCTTATGGTGTACAATGGTTAAGTTTAGTTATGACTTGTTGGCTATACCCATCTTTTTCGGGAAGGCAAATTTTGGGAGTAAATTTTAGGTTGCAGCATGCCAGGAGTATTTCACAGGAAAAGTATAAAAATGCTTATGTCTTAATTATTTATTTTTTAATATAAAAAGCAGGCATAAAATACAATTACATTACTACAAAGATGCAGCAAATTTAAAAGAAAGAAAATCAGGGGGATATGATTTTTGTTCAAAGGGGACAGCTGATCAAATATTTGATTATCTAAACCATGCAGTTCAACTTAGTACAACTTCAAACAAAACTCATTATGGGGAAGGGAACCAAGGAGCCGACGTGACGTCCCCCCAGCATAACACCCGGCACTGTCACACAGCGCCATTCCTCAAAGTGCTTCCCGAACAGACGAACAGCCGCGGCATCTCCCCACCTGCGGAAGCTGAAGCCTACCCGGAGGACGGGAGTCAGTAGCAGTGTCAGTGCAGGCGGAGCAGCTCAGGTGTGACTTCCTCCCGTCGGAGTATAGAAACAGGCTTCTTGGAGCAGCTCCACAAGGGCACGTGGTGCCGAGGCCTGGTGGCCACCAGGGTCCTAGACCAGATTAGCAGCAGCCGCAGCACTTCTGCAACGGGGTCTGGCCGCCGAGCGCTCCTCCAGGACCCAGGCAGACAGAACGTGCCTGCGACCCAGACTCCTGTACCCAGCGTAGGCCAGCTGTAGACACTCACCTACATTTTGGATTGACTGGGACACTTATCCTTTGGCTACAGCATTTTCAATGTTCAGATTAAAAAAAAAAATTCTTGCTTCTAGATAACAATTTAAATACTTTTCAAAAATTCACTATACACCAATTTTCAACAGTAATACCAGTTTTACTTCTACTTCTCTCACTTAATCCCCACGAAAGTACAAAACTCTAAGAAAATCCCAGTATTCACTACTTCTTAGTTCTCAATAGGAGGTATTTATGGCTCTAGGAGAAATCAGGTGAGGAAAGAAGCAACTTTTGGTCTTTTATTTATCTTGGAAGCTTTGGAGCCTCCAGGAAAAGAGAAGCTGGCACAAAATCTGGCTGTTACACCAAGTCAGTATCACATTGAGTGAGTGCTGGGAAGAGAACATTTGGGTAGGTGCATGCATCATTCATGTTCATACATGAAACCAGCAACAGGGTAAAAAGCAAATTCTTACCCAAGGTCAGAATCTTTTATTAAGCACATTTCTGTTAGCTGGACAGCTTTATAAATTCTTATGTCAAACCACATAATGTGAATAATCTCCATGGGAGAGATTTGGTTCACCCCTTAGATTATCTTCCCCCAATCCCCAACAGTCACATTGATCTTCCTTGTATAGTTGCATCACACCATGATTCTCCATATTCTCTATTATATACAGCATTCAAAATTTAAACTTTTGCCATTTTTACTCAAATATTTCAATTATTCATGTGTAAACTTCAAATTATTTTACCTTAATAAAGTTTATTAAAAATATATATATATACTCTCCAATTCAGAATAATATGATAGAACCTCCCATAGTGTAACAAAATCTTTATGTAAAATATTAATTTAGTCTCCTTTTAACAAGTCTAATGAGTGGAAATATTTATTCTATATAAATTTTATATATTTTTCATTTTAAAATCTTACTTTAAAAAAAATCTGTGCCCCCAAACCAGGACCACAGCACACACCTGCGAGGGGCCGCCTGCCGCCTGCCGCCTAGTTTCAGCACAGACAGGATGAGGGAGTGCGGACCGACACTGGAAGAGGAACGAGATTCCGGTTCAGGACAGCGGTAGCCACAGGCCACTCTTCCGTTTCCACAACAGTATCTATAACTGGGGACCTAACTTTAAACATCTCCACACTGACCCCCCAGGGAACAATGAAAAATGTCTTAGTTCCTTCATTGAAATATCAGATGCTGTATTTCAGTATCACACCAAACTGTATGTGTTTATGTATATTGAGACTGATAAAAAGACTACACAATTTTTTACCTGATGCTTCTCACTGATGCATACTGTCACAGTAAAAAACAAAGACTTCTGTGGGATGAGAAATACAGCAGGAATGGTCCTGCATGTGCTGCAATTTTAACAGCATTTAAATAAAAAGTTAAGTGCCTTTGAGGCCACTTCTTCCTAGGCACCAGTTTTCACAACCCAATACTGAAATATTGCCATACACAATTGTGTGGATAAGGGATCACATGTCAATACTTAAAATATATCTGGAGTATATTTTAGTTTTTTTATACTTGAGATAATTTTTGAATATTGAGTGTGAAATGTAAAAATAGCCACAAATGTCCTTACCAGAAATAAAAACATATCTAGGGTAGTCAGCAAGTTCCAAGCAAAGAAAACATTTCATAGTCACACACTAATACTGAGGTCTGTAAAAAGGCTTGGATGGATAATAGATATACATACAAGATATATTAGTTCTAATACTACCCATTATTGTTTCTATCACCATACTTTAAAAAATTGTTAGACAATCAAAATAGGCTGACATTGATAACTATTATATGTAAAAATAGTGCACTATCTTCTTCTGCAAAGCAAATTTGCATTCTAAGAGTTGGTAAACACTTGTTTTTAATACAGAAAAGGGCTGAGACTTGGAAAAAATTAAATTAAGGCATTCAAAATGGATAAAGTTGCCTATCATGAAGCATTAGGAAACCGATATAATTAAGTTCAAAGTTTCTGTTACAGCAACATGAACATGCAGCTCCACCAGGTCCACACAAATGAGTGCTATAACCCCAATGTTATGGCTTTATACAAGTGCATAGTTGCAACTGTAGTAAGTAATGATA